CCCCAAAACCCCAAAACCCCAAAACCCCATAGTGAGTAGTATAAATGTTTAATTTGTATTATGAAATTATTAGATAGATTTAATTCAAATGAACCCAAATTATAATCAATGTGCTACAACAATACCTGCTTTTGAGTGATAGAGCTCTTTAATGAAAAATCCAGAAAAAAGTGCCAGTATTGCATTAGTTAGAAAAACAGCATATGGATAGGGATCCGCTGCTTCAGCTAGTAAGGGTCCTCCTATTGAGAGAACATGAGATATAAAGTTTAGTAACCCGAAAGTTGAGGTTTAGAAATAGGTTGGGAATAGTCTACTGTTAGTTACATATACTGTATTAAATGACATTGAATTTCCAATTCTGCTTAGAATAATGACTACTGGAACAATATCTTGATTTGTAAATAATATCAAGTACAATAGTGCTCCTATTGATGAAATAACTTAGGCAACAATTATTGCTTTTGAAGCATTAAGATACTTGATGATTAGTCCTGATAAAAGGTAAGCAAAAATATCTGCAATAGCAAAGTAAATACAATTCAAAAAGATACTTCCTGGAAAATACTTCAAGTAAAATGATACCAGGAAAAAATTGAATACGATTGATGTCCAGATAACTGTAGAAAATAGTAAATTTCTCCTTAGATCTTTTCTTTTGAATAATTGCTTTAAACTCTTGTCCTCTGGACTACTTTATGATGTAATGCTTGTATTTAGTGGATCTTAATCTTTTTCAAAAGCTGTTTATTCCAAACCATTCATTTCTAATTCTTCCTTGAATATGATTAAATCAGCATAGTTTTCTCCTTTACCATTTCTCTTGGCAATTATATTAAAACAAGTTCTTGCCTGATCGAATCTTCCCTTACTTACTAAGAATCGAGGACTTTCAGGCTGGAAAATCATGTAAACAGTTCCCAAAATAGATAAAACTAAGGTAGGAATTTAAAGGTATATCCAATTTTTATTAACCCAAAGGAAATAACCACAAACGGAAAGAAAAACAAGACCTTCACAAATAAATTCAAAACTTCCTACAATTACCTGCTTACTTTTAGGCATGTTTTCAATGAGGTAAGTATAACCCACATATTGCTTTCCAGTTAAAGCAACTCCCATGATAGCAACCATTAGGTAGGCAATCCATATATTATCTATAAAGACCAGAGTACAGCAGACCGTAATTTGCAATAACATTCCAACAATAAATATAGGTTTCCTCCCTAATATATCACCTAATCTTGTAAGAGTGAGGCAGCCTAGCACGATTCCAACTAAGAAAAATGAGCCAATCAATCCGATATAGAAAGAATCAGAGCATTCAAGATGAAATTGCGAGATAAAATTGTCAAGAGATTCTTATTCACTCCAATCAATTCTCTTAGTCACTGAAGAATCTGAGCAAAATACTTTTTTCTAACATCTATACCAGATATCCGAGTGCAAATTCTAGCATTCATAGACAGGCTAGAGTTCAAGAAAGCTCAGTGCATTTAAGAAAAAGCCTGCTGATTTCATTGAGAATATCATAAAGATCATTAGCAATGTTTAATGTCTACCGAAACCCCCACAGTAATCAAAAGCTTCATCAACTGATAATAAAAGATCTGTCGAATTTTCCCCAAATCCAAACATACTAGGTCTTACATTGATGAAGTCCTCTTTTTCATCTGCTGTTGTGGAATCACTATTAATGTTAGCCTAAAATTCATCTATGATCTCGTCTCCTGTTTTTAATTGAATAAACTGATTTGGGTCAAATCTCTCTGTGAAATTCATTACACTTTTTATATAAATACAAAATATTTTAATATATTACTATATCTTATTTGAAAATTGTAAGGCTCTGGGGTTTTGGGGTTTTGGGG